CCCAAACCATTCTATGATTCTATAATGGAGGACTTCAGGACACCACCACCGCTACTGCCTAGGAGGAACATCTCTGCTTCTATAAAAGTCCTACTATGCCAGTACCTCCTCCCATAGTCACAGAGATGACAGATGAGGTAGTGTGCTTAGTAGTATTTAAGAGTCAGGGTTCAATGAAAAGATGCAAGTCAGGGGATGCCTCTGAAATAAGAGATCTTGGTCAGGAAAGAGATCAGGATCCAGGTAACTACAGTAACCTGAAAGAAACAACAAGCTGTACGTCAGGATATACAGATCTAGTTCAAGTATAAAGAAACTGACCAAAAGAAAGAGACAAGAGTAACACGGAAAGGCAACCGGCCATTGTGATATTTTGCTTAGAAATAGATACTTTAGAAGAGAAAGCAAACAGTGAAAGTCTTATGAAGACTTAAGTGTTTGCTATATGGCAAACAAAGAATGAGTTGGAACTCTAAACCCTTGAATTAGAACTCTGGTGATGGGTAACCTTAAGTCAGTGTAAGAATCTGTACTAGTACTGAAGCCGTCAGGAATTTCAGTTGCCTGGTTCATTTCAGTCAAGTGAAAACTGGCAGGTTCTGCACTGAGGACATGTGCTACTCAGTCAAAAGAACAGAACTGCACAACCACCTAAGTTCAGCAAAGGTCAGATGAGACAAACTCAGTGTGCCAAGACCCCAGTATAATACAGTCAGCTGGGGAAGTTGTATCAGGGCTGTGATGCAGCAACTGGATCTTGGTGGGTCTTTTAAACCAGCTAGATAAAAATCACACACAAAGCCTTGCTGGCTGTACATAGAGATGTATTTCACTGACACTTTTTTACACACACTTACACTTGATTATTTCAGAACAGCCACCTCAAGTGCTAATATTCTTTGTGACTACCATTTGATATACAGGACTGAGGGCACACTGGTGCTCTCCAAGACAAACTGAAGATGTACCATGTAACATGAAACAACTTTCAAACTATGTTCCCAGGAAGAATTTGTGATAAAGTTTTGGAAGATTTTGGGTTTTTTCAGATGCTCTTGAATCCAGTTGAAATCAAAGTTAACATTTCTAGTCAATATGCTCACAAACTGCTAATATAAGCTTACACCCATGCAAACGTAATTCCATTAGTTCAAATAAACTAGCAATATTTGAGTTACTACTGGAGAGTAGTGTCCACTGTATATTCTTGTGTACTTACAGAAGGAGGACAGTTTGGAGATTGAACTGGAGTAGATCCAGCAGCTGTATTTCCATCCAGTGCCACAACTGCTTTTACACAGTTGATACTGTCCAGCGGTGGAGGTGCTACAGCCTGTGGTGATTCAGTATTGCCAGGTTTTCTGGAAAAGTAATGAGAAAAACTGGGAAAGGATCTGTCCAAAAGGGACTAATGAAACACATGAGGAGACGCAGCTTTTCTTTCAGTTTACCATGGACTGCAGAAAGCACTTGACAGCATTGGTCTTCTGCACAGTTCTTTTTACACATGGTAATTGTTACCCTGTTTTAGTGCACACCTACAAGTGTATGTTGCCCTAGTATCAAAGGAAGCTTTGCAGGTCCAAAGTAAGGTGTTCATACATGTTTTCAAGTTAATACTTATCTTGCTAGTGGCTAAAAGCCTCTGTTAAGCAACCCCGGCTTCTGCAAACATGAGGCTGCTTAGTAGAAAATACTTATGCATTTGACTATTCCAAGTGAAAGATACTACCTTCCAACAATTATTGGAAAAAATGGAACACTTGCACTCCTTTTTTCTTCTTCCAAAACAGCAGACTCCAGGGCAAGGCATATACGATGTCCCTGGAATTAGAAGGGGCTTGTTAAAGATTTTAATTGAGACCAGAGTAACTATTTCACACACGTTTAGTGGGGCAGGTGAGCCTATGCAAGGGAATGCTTTTTTGGATGGCACTGAATACTGGTAATAGCTCCAGTCATGTAAGACAGAGGCAATTCAAAAAGCTGTATTACAGCAAGACTTCTTCATAACTGCAGCATATCTGGAATTATGCTCTTAATAATCACATCTCCTCCCCTTTTAGCAGGACCAGACAACCCCCGAATTCTAGTCCAGAAAGTAACAGTACATCAGGAGGACCACACAGGAAATTTGTATTACATTTTTACTGTTTCCTAAGTTCATCAACAGAAAAAATGACTCGTGACTTCTAACTGGGTGCCATGAAACTAGAGATGGAAAGCACAGCAAGAAGGCTACTGAGACACTTGGCAGGTTTGTGTGTTTGGCTTTTTTTGGAGGGTTTTGGTTTTGAACTTGCATAAAGCAGCTTCATCTGTTCTGTTCAATCATTTCACCAGACAGACAAACCTGCTTTACACACTAGTAAGCATTTCCTTTAGCAGTCCTCATAGCGAGGCATTGTCACTGTTACCTCCACATAGATACCTGCTCTTTGTCATCCCTGCTTATTAGTGTCATGAAAACTATGAAAAGCAACATAGGAAGCACATGTGTGAAAGAGAAACTGAATTCTCAGAAAGCTGGAAAAGGCCTCTATGAAACGGTTTACCTCATTTGCATGATCCATATAAACTTGTATTTCCTTCTTCAAACCTGCTTCGCTTTCTCCTTTCAAAGTGAAGGACTTCCCCGATTTTTCAATCACACGAGTTACACCAGCTGTCTTATGTATCTTTGCTCCTGAGAAAAACAAAAGGTAAAAACTTACACTGTGAATTTATGGGACACCAGCAGCTGCAAAGTACAGATTTCTGCCATTACTTTCTACTCTACTGACACGTATCTCACCGAGTCGACTACTGCAAGAATAAACCCACTCCTTCATAAGCTCTATGTCTAGCAGAAATAACTAGCCACTTAAATTGAGACTGGGATGTTAATGGAATGTCCTCTATGGCTGAAGATCACCACTTAAATGGGCAGAATAATGCATTTATTACATATTTTAAGAACTTCCTTTCTAAACACTCATCCGAGACAAATCCAATGTCTCTAATAACTGGTTAGAGTAGGCTCTATTGTATTTTAGTATGGTTTTAAAAGAGATACCCATTCTTTCAATAGCAGTTCTACACTGAATCACAGAGCTGGGGTTTTTTTGGTCATAAATCCTGCTGGGGTTTATCTACGCATGTGGCAAATCAAACTAGTTTATAGTGAGAAAACATCTGTTACTGCAGTCAAGTTTATAAAGGGCAGAGTTGGAAAAGGCAGCAACTGCTCTCTCCAGTGAGTGTTCCTGGTAACACTCCTCATGAACATTGAAAGCTTGAGAGAAGGGTCCCATCTTTAACTAACCAGGTTAGCTAACCAATGTAGATGCAAAGAAGAGCTCATGAATGAAACCAAGGTGTAATTTAAGTAACACTTTGGCAGTGTGTATTCCCTGAAGAAGATATCAGTGAGGAACTAACGAATAAGTCATCTGCAGGTGCTAGAATAAAGGTAGAGTGGCAGAAAAAAGTCTCTTCTTCAACCAGAATTGTTAATTTTTTAGTGTTTGGGAATATTTTAGTGCAGCTTTATAATAACATGCTGTAAGTATTTGCATAATTACAAAAATGAATACGTACCATCATAAAAACAAATTTCAACATCCGCAGGGGGGGAATTTTCCATCAACATGCACTTGGCATATCTTGTGTAGAACGTAACTTTGGGGGTTTTTGTTCTTACCAACTGCACAAACTTGGCTGCATACTGGTATTTTTTCCAGTACTTTTCTAAAAAAGAAAAAATTCAACTTTTTGATAGAATCCATCAGACCAAATCCTGTGCACCAGCTTGGAAAGAAGTAATTTAAAATACGTGTTACTCACAACCCTCGGCTATCTCATATTTAAGTACTTCACAGAAGTATGTTCAAAGAAACTGGCTTATTTCCACCAACTTTAAGTGTGCATCTTAAATAGCTTCACATGAACAGCATCGGTTAACATAGTTCAGAACCTAAATAACAGTACAGTGCTGCATATACCATTTAACTAGATACTGTAGTCCAGCTGGCTTCCTGGCTTTAGGTAAACCTGGCTTTGATCTCTAATTAGTAGAGAAGTCTGCTTGCCTCAAGAACTTACGTAGTCAGCTTATATTTGTTCTTCATCTGTTTACATTAAATACTCTGTCAATGCTTTCAAATATATATATTCTTCCTTTTTCTCCCGAGTTATGAATATTAGGAAGCACAAGGTAAAGCTGCTCATTTTAAAATGATTTGATAATATTTCTTCCACTCTTATTTAAGCAGCTTCCAATATGCACAATAGGAAAGATTTAATTTCAGTACACTACATAGTTTTAACTTCCACACAAAATGAATTCAAATCCTTTCTTGTGAAGTTTCAAAATACAGTTTCCAGTTAAACTGTAGTTTGAACCTTATTCTGAAAGGAGTTTTATCTTCACAATCATCTGAAAAGTAGTGGCTACAAGCTAGAAAGTCTCAAACAAGATTCACTTAAACGTCATGTTAACCATCATCATTTAAAAGAAATAAAATCAGGTTACCTGGCAAGTTGTCAAAATTATACAAAGAGATGCCTTCAGGAGGAGCAGGAGGTCTGGCACCAAGAAGGAAGCCTCTTCCTTCATTCGGATGATAAACTGCAATCTACAGAAAGGGGCAAAAATGTGGTTACAGTTGCAACTTACTACAGCACTCCCTACTGTTTGCGGGTATGGAATGAAGTCCTAGTTTAATTAATTACTGTAATTTACCATGACTGCTCTGTTCCTCTGAGTAATTATTTAACAGCAGCTGTTTCTCAACAACACTTCATCTATTGTATGGCTGTACTATGGGGGGAAAACAAGCTCCCAGCTGTGCCTATGTAAACCTTGCATCTCCAAAGCAAATGATGCCTTAAATGAAAATAAAACAAACTCTGAAGGAACAGAGCCCTTTACACGACACTGAAGACATTGAAAGCATACTCACTGTGTTGCCATCGCAAGATATTCTGAGAACTTCTTTCACAAGTTCTTGTGATTGGTGTTCTTTTAGAAACTCCATGCACACTTCCCCAGTATCTAGAATGCTCACCTAAAATACATTAAATATACAAGTTAAACAAGATGACCGATACTTTTGCTATTAGTGTTATTAAAACAGAACTCTTCAACATGACCGAAGGTTATAAGCCTGGTCAGTGGGGGTGGGGCTTCTTGAGTGGCAAATCAAACACAGACAGGTCAGATCTATTGTGTTCGTCTTTAAAAGAACAAATAGGGGTGTGGAGGGAAACATGACCGGATAAGTGAGACTATAAGAAACGGAACAAAAGGCAAAAGGGAATGAACTAACCCAAAAATTTACGTGATCAGCAAGGATTTAATAGAATTCTATGATTCTATGAATTTGTTTTCCTTTCCGACCCACAAGATGGGAAAAAGCAGCACTAGAGGAAAGATTCGTGTTTTCACCTGAGAGCAAGACTGTTTTCATTTCTGTCCTGGGTTCAGTTATTTATCTGATCTGCAAAAGTGCTTGACATAGGTAAAATCTTAAATGCAGCTGTACAGCTAAGCAGTACAGTTTTAGAACTGTAGGAAGTATATATGCACTTACTTTTTGTTATGTCTACATACAGTTTCTTTGCTTGTAAGCTAAAAGCAATGCCGTGTCACTGCAGGAACTGACTACAAGTATTCCACATGTGAACACTAAACTGCATCTTACCAATCTATAATGTCATTTAAAGTTATATTAAGTTTTCTAAGAACAAATGCTTCTAGTTTACCAAGTGATTTTTGAGACACAGTCACACTGTATTTAATAGTGAAGTGGTTTGCCTTTTAAGAACTGATACATACCACTGCATTTTTTGTTTTTTGCCTGATGGGTTTTAGCCTGTGAGCGTTGAGAGGTGACACTAGACTTTGCAGTGTAGGTTTCTGATGTGCTGGCGGTTCTTTGCCCCACGTCTGGTTTTGTTCTGAAGCTGACCAAAGGCCACATGTAGAAGATGATGGTTGGATTTTCTCAGATTTGCAGAGAACTCCAGGGATGTATGTCTTTGGGTTTCTCTGGTTCAAAGAATGTGGACAGTCACCGGACGCATCGTGATTCCTTATATCTTTTAAGGTGTTCCATGCATTCGTAGATGCATCTTGCTGCACATCCAGATGATACCGAAAACCTCCATGTGCATTAGTGTTGCCTATTAGGTCTGCAGGTGGTCTCAGTGGAACTGAAAGCATCACAAAGGTACATTGTAGATTCAAAGAGTCACAGTCAGAAGAAAAAAATGCTATTGTGTTTTTACAAGCTTTTCAAAATACCATCTTAGAAGGCTTAAATGGAGAATGCGATTTCTTTAATCCTTAGTCCATATCATTAGAATATGACTTTAGTATGGTTCAATACCAGTGCTAACGAAATTCCAGTACTACTTAAAATAAACTGTTACTAGATTTCAGTTAAGACAGCCTTCAGTCTTAACACATATCCACTCATTTTGCAAAACCATCTACAAACAACATACTGATTTCAACTAGATACTTAAGAATTCATTTACAAGAATGTTTAATCTGTTGAAACACAGTTTACTTGGCACTCAGACATCCACTAGTACCATTCTTATCTAACCAGTGTTTTAGCATGAGAGATTTTAGCAATCAAGATGTTAAATGAATGCTCCAAAGCCCTTGTTTTATTTCTAGTCACTTGTTAAAAGACAAAACCCTGGTTTGATATTTAAACTTCCTATAATTGCTTCCTTTGTTTTGATACATAAGCCCTTCACCAACTTTCACCTCACTCCTCCTGCCATGTGGCAGGACAGTTGAAGAAACCAAGAAAACCCAAATAGGATTATTCAGACCATATGTCATATGATTCCAATTCCCTCTAGACAGGGAGGGAAGGAGTCCAGTAATATCAAAACAAAAAAGGCCAGAATGGATTTGTGATTTAGTTTTATGATTAAATTACATTACTTGTAAATGATGTAACATGATGCATGACAAGGAACACCATCCCTTCTGCATCTTTTGTTTTTTCCTCCACCTCTCCGTCTGCAGCCTCATTATCTTTCTCATTGACCGAGGTCTCATTTGCTCTTAAGGCATATTTGTATAACTCAATTAACAGGGCTTTAGAGTCACCTGACAATCTTTTGTCATGTATTTACTTACGCATTTCAGGTCACAACTGATTAATTATAGGAGGTTCTAGAATTTGTTTGGGATTCCCCCCCCCTCTTTTTTTCTAAAATACTAAAAGAGAATGACCCCACTTTAGGAAGCTAAGTTCAATGTACGATGTCTTCACTCTCATGAAGGCAGTTACATACAATTCTTCATACCAAGACAACAGCTTAAGAGGAACACCTAGCTACAAAACCTTCTAACTTCCTGTCTCAGGAAACACTTTTGTGACAGCTTAGACAAAAAGAGAAAAGAGAACAATGGTTTCAATGGGATATTTCTTGCTTAGTTATGATTCTGCAGATTAGTGATGCTGGAAATCATTATGCCTTTTTCAGCATCTATGTCAATTTTTTCGTTCAGTGTCAAGTCAGTTTAGGGCATCCTGTGCTTTTCATTCCAGAAAGGTGCAACAATATACAACTTTTGACTGCAAAAATACACAACTGATTAGTAACACACCATTTGTTTGCATGCTTCCAAGCCACTGCTGCATTGTTCCCGTATGGGACTTCTGCTCTAACAAACCAACCTGGGGCTTCATTGGGCAGAGATAGTTTGAGCTGCAAAAAAAGAAGTTACACATGTAATCAAGATTACATCAGAGACACTTGCACAACAAAAGCTAGAGTGCTACAGCTGCAGAAACCACAATGCTTTTAGAATATTTAAGAAACACAAGTGACAGCAAAGGACATGCTTCTTTTTTCATGGGAAATGTTCACTCGTTAAAGGATACGAAAAATAACCATTTCCAAATGGAATTAAAAGTTATCACTAATTTTTAGCACAAATTTAAGCCTGTTAGCACTAACTAGTAGACTACTGGAACTCGCACATATGAACAAAAAGAGCCGCTGATAATGCCGCCAGCCGTGGCTGTTCCGGCATCTAGTTCTTAATTCACAGTCTAGGGCACAGGGATGATGCCCTGTGGATCTCATTCAGCGTTAACAAATATGCAGCTGAAATACAATCTTATCACCTAAAATAATTTGAGTTTATGTAAAATATAATAAATCCCAAAAATTGCAAAGGCTTTTTTTTACCAGCCTTTTAGACCATGATGTATAAATAGCGACAGGTAAACTCAAACTGTAATCTGTATGTTGAAGAATAAAGAATACACACATAACCAGTTACTGCAGAGTCACTGATCTCTTGTAACTCACACTAAACTCCTGCGAGTTTTTCTATCCCCATAGCCTGTCCTTGTTTCTTCTTTCTTCTTGCAATGATCATTACTTCACTAAGGACTCAGTTCTCTTCCCCTACCCCCAGATATAAGCATCTAATTCAGGTCTTAAAGCCTTCCATTTAAGATTGTCATGCAAGTTAACTATAGATGCAAGAGGCTTTCATATAATCAGCCATATAAAAAAGTAGTTACCATCTAGTTAATCCCCACACTCATTAATAGTCTGTCACATTTACATTCACCCTGCCTCTATGAAGTCATGGGGAATACAAGTGAACGTTACGTTAACATTTGCCTAAATCATCTCTTGATTCATCAAACATTTCTCAAACTAGAAAGAATGCACATGTCCATTGAACTTGCTGAACAAAGCTCTATGTCAAATACAAATAGTCAAGAAAAATCTCTTCTTCCATTTACTTTTCCTACAAGGCAAAGTGCTCACCTGCCTTTTCCCTGAACTGATTTGCAGAAAGACATGTGAAACCATCACATGAAGTTGCCACTTCTTAATGTGAAGAGAAATGCAAGAACTAAGATATGCAATAGTCCTTGTATTAAAAAAAAACCACCAGAAAGCGTTGTCTGCTGCTGGAAAAAACCAAAGCAAACTTCTGAGCACCAACTAAGTTTATCACAAAGAAGGGCTCTTGTTGCCCTTGATGCAAAGATAAGGCCTCCAACAACACAAGAAGCATCCCAGCATCACTTGCAGGTTTGACACCTGAATTGGTTTGCATCAGCTGGGCAAGACCATCAATGTACAGCAAGTAGTCATTTTTTTTTCATAGAAACTACAACTGAGGACAGAAACAAGTGTCAGATAGTTATCTTGGAGTGTTATTTTCCTTTCTGATACACCAGTTCAATATTCTGTCACTTAATCTTGTATTTAATGTGGGTTTTTTTTCTTTACCTTGTCTAATCATTAGTATTAAAAGAAAAAAAAAAAAAAAAAAAAAAAAAAAAACACAAACCCAAAACCAACAAACCCCAAAACCAAATAGAGCACAAGGAAAAACATTGGTAATGACACTCTGAATGCCTTCTACCCTAGTGTAGGTCTCTTCTGTAAAGAATTAACAAGGCTCTCTAATACAAGAAAGAAATACTCAACTTGCTGCACATAGAAATAATAATAATAGAGTTTTAGCTGGATTAATAAAAGCTATGACCTAACCAGCTGATGTGCTGCATCTATGAACTTCAAGATAGGGACAGTGCAGAGGTAAACCTGCAACAGCACCAACTATGCTCTCTCCTATGTGGTATATTCAATCTACAAGTGTAAGGACTTTGGGCACTTACTACAGTTTACAGGAAAAAAAAAAAAAATCATGCATTTAATATATAAGGCAGCTATAAATTTAATCTTAATAAAAACTGATTCTTACTGTGGTTCATCTTTTACAGGTGGAGAGAGCCGTCCTTCGAAAGAACCAGAACTACTGGAAATCTTCTCCTTAAATATTTCTCCTATATCAGTATAGCTGTTTGCAGGTGAAAAGCATTCTGTATTTTCCCTTGTTCCTACTTTAGGCTTAGAAAGCAGTTCCAAAGAGTGACATCTCTCAACAATATTTGACATGCCTTGAGTATGACTGTGGGATATGCCAGATCTATCTGAAGAGTGGGCTCTTCGGAGGTAGCGCGAATGTGGTCTCTCTTCAGCAAGTTGCACCGTTCTTCCCCTGCCAGTTACGCCAGTTTCTTTTCCCTGAATTCCCCATTGATGAAAAGAACCACTTCCATCTAAGGATGAATTACTACCAGAATTCTTGGTTTTAGGAAAAAAAGTAATTTTATTGGGGAGTGGCTGTCCAACTAACAGCTTCTTCTTTTCCTTCAAGCAACCACTGGTACTGATGTTGGAAGAGCCTGTGAAGGTTGTAGAGATGGTAGCGTTTCCACTGTCCATGGAATCTTCCGAAGTTCCCAGATCTTTACTCCGTGCAGAGCTACACCTAGACATAAAGGGATGATCCAACACGGAGGAAAGACTCAAACGATCTGCTGGGTTTTTGCGAAGTAACCTATGTATAAGGTCTTGTGCCTCTCTTGATAGGAAGGCTGGCATTTCATAATCTGCTAATACTACTTTATTCAGCGTGTTCTTGACTGTGTCAGTGTCAAAAGGTGGCTTTCCAATAAGAAGAGTGTAAAACATACAGCCCAAAGACCACACATCAGATTCAAGTCCATGTGGACTCCTCGTGGCTATCTCGGGTGAAATGTAATTTGGAGTTCCACACATGGTGTAATGCTTTTCATGAGGCATTTTCAGCTGAGTTGCTAGTCCGAAATCAGCAATCTTGACATTCATATTACTGGTGAGTAAGATATTAGAAAGGGTGAGGTCCCGGTGTAATATTCCATGAGAATGAAGATACAGCATACCCGTGATAATTTGATGCAAGAAGTGCCGGGCTGTCAAAACACAAAACCAGATGTTTTAGTCACAGAAGCGAAATCAAAGTAGTGAAAATAACTTTTTGAAGTCCACTACTGGTCTTGATTTTTTTTTTAAATGAGGATGTTACAAAGATACTCAAGCATCATGCTGATGAGACTAGAACTAACTTTGGTTTTTGCTTTAAGCAACATGGTGTGACTATGTTTCAAGTTCATTAAAACATGCTTTTTAATGCAGTAATCAATTTGTTTCATTGCTAACAGAATAATGCAAACAGGACTGGAAATACTTTCAGTTGGCCTAAAATTAGGTTCTTAAGAATTAAAAAAGTTAAGTTGTTCCTCACTTTCAGAAACAGCAAATACACAAAATGAAGCACCTCCACTATGTGCAAAATATTAAAAAAAACCAGAGAGGACGATTTGAATGTTATTTGTTTTATCATTAGCAAACTGGCAAGGCTTCTAGTAGTCAAATATCTCAAAAAGTCCTAAGTTCACAATATCGGGATAGCCTTTACATATTAGAAAATCAGGGAGTATTCAAAAGTCTTAGCTTACAGCAAGAATAGCAAAACCTTACCCAGGCTGAAACAGCATTATTTATTTATGATGTGGCAGTTACAGCAATTTTAAGAATCATTCTGGAGCAAACCATTTACAACCCTCTTAGCAGTGGGCAAAGACAGGTGCCTAACAAATGTCAGTAGAAACCACTCCTCAAAGGAAGAGGCTTTATGGTGAGTCTGGAAGCAGTAGAGGCAATAACCACCGAGTCCAGATCAGCTGTAGCCAGAACAGCTTCTTTGGCTGTGCCCTTAAACACTACACGCTGCAGCTTGCTTTGCTGGGGTTTTTTTTGTTCATTTAATTTAACTATTGTGGTTAGAACACAAGACCACTGAAAGCCTAACTGAAATCCTTTGTCAGCTGTAAGAAAATGAAACATTAGTAAGTTCGTAAGTGAAATGATTTTTTATTTTTTGCAATACTTCTTTCTCAAAACACTATTCGAAAGAATAACGTAGCCAAATAAAGTTTTAGCATTTCTCTGACAGTGAGCTCCTACTGAAAGACAGATTTTTCAGTGCTTTCCATAAGAAACTTAAGTAATACCATAGCACAATTTCTCCCCAGCTACCACTCCTTCAAAAATTCTCGATGGAGTGTCAAATTGGATATTTCCTTACTAACTCAGTCCTTAGCAACACAGTTAAGTGCACTATCTTCCATTTCCACACACAGCTTGGAGCACAGTAAATACTTCCAACAATACCACATAAGGCAAACTATAATCCGGAAGGCTTGCGAACTGGTGAAGAGGTACACCTCAAAGGGAGCAGATCTGTGGATATGAAGTTGTCAGTATTCTTCTGTGGAACTTCCCTGTCTTGACCTACGCTTCGATCTAATTAAATGTAGAAAGGTAAGCTCTACCTTCTATGTACTTCTGCCTTCTAAGATCACTGTCTTTTTTTAGAGCCCAAATAGCACAAGCTACTGTAAAATAGCAGAAACAGAAACAAAAGTAGACAAGAATTCCACTGAATATATGTGTAATAGTACTTAATCTCTAAATTATCACTTATCACAAAATTTTAAGCTATAGAAACTGGTTCAGTGATGGCAGTTTTAAATATTCCTTCCCTAGAATACTTACTAAGCCAAAAGGTTAATGCAATGAGAACTACATAGAAAAAAGAGTAAGTCTTACCTTCTTCTTCTGAAAAGGATTTCTTTCTGTTCTTTATGTATCTGCTCATTTCACCATTGTGACACATCTCAAGTATCAAGTATACGTAGTTGCTGTCTTCAAAATAGTTATAAAGCTAAAACATAAACCAATGAAACACTTAAATGTATTTTTTTGACTATCCAGCAAGTCACATATATGATCCTCTCTACAAAAACATGACTCTTACCTCAAGTATAGATGGATGCTTTAGCTGACAGTGTATTTTCACCTCATTTTGAACCCTCTGTACCATTCCAACTTTGTGCATGGCTTTTTTATCTATCTGCAAATGGATCACAGAAGATTTTTCAAGCACCACAACAGCAATATGGAAACACCAGTTTCAAGTGAACTTGACATTTTTCATGCTCAAGGCACACTTGCCTGAAAACTTCTAAATATAAACACATTTTGACATAGTTTAACCTCATATATGCTTTTCATACACACGTATCATAGATAAATGGAGGGAAACACAACTTTCTGAAAGCAGACAAGTACTGACATTTTCAATTCTAATTAAGAATTTCTCTGAAATACTTATACAGAGAAACCCAATTCAGATTTTGCCAGGCAGATATGCTCAATATAATTAATGTTAAAAAGGTAGCTAAACGTTAAGTATTGTAGATCATAACTAAATCTCCAAAACACCTGTGATGTACAAGCTCCCTTCACAAAGTCTGTCCTGGCAGTAAGGGAAATTTTTCAAGGCATTTTTCCCAGGACTTCTCCAGCCACATAGATTCTGAATGAAGTGGTCACAAATTTCTTAATTAGAATTAGAGGGCCTGGCTGGCCAATCGGTGTTGAACATTTGATCTTAAGTTCTTTTAATAGCAATTTCCATTAATTATCGATACAATCTATTTGGTTGTACTGCATCTTTCAGGATCAAATCCTAATCTAAATATCCATTACAGACAAACAAGCAATGTCCAGTCAAGTAACCTCGACCTTGTTCAGTCTCTCAGAAAACAAGAGATTCCTTTGCCTTGCTGCCTTACCATTTTGATTGCCACTTCGAGACCGGTTTTCAGGGATACTGCTCTGTAGACCCCTGCGAAGGAGCCTTTCCCCAGGAGGTTCCCCACCTTGAAATCCTGCAGCACGAACAAACCACAACCGTCAGCCCCAGCTTTGAAGCCTGCCCTTTACGCCATACAGAGTCCCCGCGCAAGAAACGAGGGGACAGCCCCTCAGTCGCCCCAGGGCTACCTGGACGCAGGTC